TCCACCCCGACGTTTTCTTTGTAATATCGAAAGAATTAAATAAATTTATTTATTTATTCATTCATACTTGTTACTCTGCAATGCACAATGAAACTGGACTGCAGTCCCCTGGTGCGCCAGCACACACACACACACACACACACACACACACACACACACACACACACACACACACACACACACACACACACGAAGAAAAAAATCATGCACATCATCGAATGAAGAAAAGTAATACGTTGAAAACTGACCGCATGCGCCAGCGTTCATTTTACTCAAGACCCTATAGTTAAAACTTCCTCCCTGAACTTAAACATCGCCCCTGACGGTTACAGTTCAAACATGCGATACCCGGGATGCATTCTGTCTTTCGTTACGTTTACTGCTCTGTTGTAACAACAGGAATTGGAAAACTGCTTTGCAGTGTACAGCGAGCAGCCGATTATTTTCTGGGCAACATCTATGACCTATTTTAGGGCTCTCTTGTCCGCTGTCGAGCAGCTGGCACACCTAACAGTGATGCGGTACCCCAGGGGACTCTCAAATTCATCCATACTTAGAATATTGTTGCCGCGTATGGTTCAGTACTCCTGTTATCTATGTAGTGCTCCTTGATAAATCCAGAGAAGAATCAGCAATATTATTGGCCCCGATGTGGCATCTCGGCTTCAGTCACTTTTCCACCACTATGAGGTTGCCTCTCTTTGCCTTTTCTATAAATTCTTTCATGGTAATTTTCGGATGCGCTTTTCGCTATGGTGCTTTGACTTTTCGAATTTAAGCGCAGTACTAGACTGACGACGAGGTCTCACCAATTTACAGCTGAGCTGGCCAGATGTAACCGTAAATTTTGCGCTTTTCTCACGCTTCCTACTTGTGGAACTCCCTTACGGCTCCATGTTTTCCAGTCAATTTTAATCTGCAAAAATTTAAATGCAATGATGTACTCTTGATTACTCTTCTTGTTCTCGCTCCTTAGCAATGTTCCTGCATCTAACTCTTCCACACCCAGTAACCCCTTTATGTCTATGTGGATTGACTGCCTTACTTGGGGTGAACTCGATAAAAAATGTAGCAGGTTTGAGTTAGAGGATTTTTAGACACACTGAAAGACAAGCAGACAGAATTTGCCGTTTACTTATTTAGATATGGGAAAACCGAATGCATATATGATATAGCACACAAATCAAGATAGCATTTGATAAAGGGTCATCTATAAATTATACTGATTCTTTTATCTATGTTCCAAAGATTATGGCACGCCCGTTTCTTTATTAACATTTAGTGAAACGGGGAGGTATTTCTTGGGGACGAATGAGCGGAAACCTGTGGTTAGAAAAATTAAATACATTGTCCACAATTCTAAGATATAGAATTGGTGAATCATATTTATTGCTTCCATCGTCTTCCGAAACAAATGCTGTGATCAAAACAGGAAAGATGGAGATAATCTTCCAAATGTTTCGTGGTGTAATAACAATGTCAGTTCTGAAATAAGACCAATAAAATTAAGAGGAACTAAAATCATCAATGGCTTAAAAAAGAGGGTTTTTTTCCCGCAAGAAATGGCTAAAAGATACTTTTTGGAGCTTATATGCGAAGCTGAGCTATTTGGTCGACTTCTTTTGTTTTCTCTTGTAAATTCTGGTATAATTATTATTGTTATTATTTCTAATTTCTGTTGTATACTCATTTCATTCCGGGTCCCAACTAGAGACCTAAGGTCAGAAATGTCATTATGACATTTTCCACAGATCCTTTTTTGTAACCCCCCCACCAAAGAAAAAAACAAAAAAAAAATACAACCTAAGACCACACACATTTTACATAGATAAAACCCTTTCTAATGTGTGAGCTGTACTTGTGGGTAAATTTTTTTGTATTTCTTTAAGGCATAGGCTATCAGGGATCCCTTTAATGAGACTATCAGGACCTTTTCCAGTTAATCCGAGTGCTCCAGCTACAACTGGAATTATTGATGTCCTTATGTGCCACACTTTTTAGATTTCCGCTTCAAGATCCTTGTATTTTGATAGTTTATTATTATTTTAAAATATCTTTTTGACCTGCATTTGTTTTCTAATCACATGTCGCGTCGTAACCAAGAACCTAGGCAAGCGAAGATTGTGATTTTTTGTTCTTCTTTTCACTTAATTAAACAAAAGTCAGCTATTAACAAAAAAAAATAAAAAAATAAAAATAAAAAATAATGGACAAAGTTGTTCGCAGGATATGGCCTGTGTTTGTGAGAACTTTTTTTTTTTTTTACATTTTCTGCTGAGATGGTGTACCAGGGATTTTGTTGATTTGTTCTTGAATTCCTTTCTTTATCAGACCCAAAACTCCAAACAAAACCTGGCTTTTAGTTCTTAAGTGCCACATTTTTTTTTTATTTCCATCTCCGGGTTTTTGTATTTGTTTAGTTTTTCAGAAGAATTCGCAGAGATGTTTTTTGCCACTTGGTACAGTTTTTTTTTTTTTTTTTTCGTTTTTGATAATGTCTGGGCGATTTGCTTGTTATTGTTCCATCTGTGTTGAAAATTATTATTATTACTCTTATTGTTATTATTATCATCTTCCCCCTTTCGTTTTCCAGCGGAGATCTTGTATTATGCGTGTTCTCCATCAAGTCGAACTACCTCAGACAGAAAGCCCCTTTCGCAGGATATTTCCAAAGCCAAGCAACGTCGACTTCTGAAGCGATGAGATACTAGGCTTTATTCCGATTTTATCCGTGTAAGTCTCTCAGTTTGGCGGTATAGACCCCAAAGCTCCAATGATAGCTGGGATAATAGCAGTCTAGATGTCCCACATTCTGGTAACCTCAATCCGGTGATTAGTGTACTTTTTAAACTTTATAATTTCTTTGGCCTTCGTATTATGATCATCAGGGACAGACACAACGACGAGGAGACATTTTCTTGTTTTATTTTTTTTTTTTGTTGTTGTTTTGTGTTTTTGTCAACAACAATGATGTCTGGTTTGCAGAATTCAAGTATGCGGTCTGTTTGAATTTTGAAATATCCTAAGATCTTGATTTGATCGTTTTCGACCACATTCTCTGGCTTGTGACCGTATCACTTCTGTTCGTCTTCAAATTCATACTTCCTTCGTAACCACAAATGCAGAGGGAAGGCAAATTTATCATGGTGACGATTGTACACATTTTTTCGCAAGAATTCTACAAGCGCTAATGATGTGGTTGGTATTTTCCAGTCCCATGCCACAGAACCTATATTTGTCCGAATCCACTTTGTGGTAGCTTCAGATCAGAATTAGTCTTCAAGGATTGGTCTTGGGTTGGTACCAGTAGTAGTCCTTTTCAATTGTTTATTATTATTCTTCTACTCCTACTATCTATCTTATTCTCCCACTCCACTTTTCTCCTCCCTACCCCTTTATTCATCTCTTACTTTTCTACCTCTCCTCCTAACACCGGTTCTTGTACGATCACCGAAGTTAAGCAACGTTGACTGTGTTCAGTATCGAGGTGGGTGGCCGCTTGAGAATACTAGGTGTTGTAAGATTGGATGTGTGGGTGGTGTAATGGATAACGTCTCGGAGTTGAAAATCGGAGTGCCGAGTTCTAATCCCAGTCTGGTTCATAATATTCCCTTACGCGCAAATACTCTTGGGGAAGGTATGAATGTACCTCTTCTCCCTCCCCCCAGATATAGGTTAATTAGTAATGTCAGTGAATCATTGTTATCGCAAAAAAGTTTTAGAATCTAAAGACTTTTCTGGGTGTAAAAGGTTGACAAACCATAATAAATAAATAAATAAATCCAAGTACTTCTTCATTTATTTTTATATGTCTTTTATCTTTTTCTTCTTTTATTTCTCTTTTTTCTTTTCTCCCGCTTTTTTCACTTTTCACTTCCTTCTTTTTATTTTTTGTTCTTTTGTTCTTTTGCCGTCACTATTTTTTTGTGGTAGAAAATGATCATATATTATGTTTATGGTAAGAATAAAATTATGTCATCTTCAGCTGTCAGTCGGTTTTATATTAATATGAGCAAATTAATATTAATGATTTTTCCAGGTAATATATAAATGTCGTCTGTCACTGACTGCAAAAGTCATGAAATTATTATTGAAGGCGTGAATAGCAATATTTGAAGACGGAAAAGATGCTGCGGATGGCAAATTCTTCACATGATCCAATATTTGTGCCTGTAATGTTTTTTTTTTCTTGGTACATTCAATCAGAAGAAATATTCAAAGTCGAAAGTAGCGGGACAAGAAGTCATTTCTGTTATTATTTGCTTATTAATAATATTGGGGAAAAAAAGGACACATTTAGATTTTAAATAGGGGAAAAAGATAATCCATAAGTGGCTGTTAAATAAATTCGTTTATAAATAGTTTCGCCAGCCGTCCGGTTAATACCTGTCCGGGCTTTGGAACAGAAGTAGAGGTTTAGGATTGGGTTTTCGGTTCCTTCTATAGTTTAATTCAACTCTACGCATAAACTCTGAAATTTTAATCATTTATTTATTTTTCCTCAAGAGGAGTAGATAGGTTCGTCAGCCGTTTGGTTAATACCTCTCCGGGTTTTTGAACAGGAGTAGACGATTATCCCTTGTATCTTGTTCAGGATTGGGTTTCGGTTTATTCTGAAGTCTTCTCATTCTCTTTCACTCGCAGTAGCTCCTTGCATCTTAGTTGCATTATCGCCTTTCTTGGGGTGAACTGATTATATATATATATATATATATATATATATATATATATATATATATATATATATATATATATAAAAGAAATATGTTGTAGTGGTTCCAACGAGAGAAAAGTATGTATATTAAAAGAAGAAGTGCCCGCAAACGTTTTTGGTTGTAATATGGATTTATTTAGAAAAAATATATTTAGAAAAATATTATGCTTTGTTAAATATAATTTTACGACACGTGTTTTCTGGTGAAAATGAAGATGAAGAAAACATGAACATTGAATATGAAAAAAATTAATTTTTTTCATGTTCAATGTAGAAATTCCACTTTTACCTGAAGACGGTCGCGAGAACAGAAACACGTGTCGTAAAATTATTTAAAACAAAGCATAATATTTTTTCTAAATAAATCCATATTACAACAAAAAAAACATATTTCTCTCTTCTTTTTATATATATATATATATATATATATATATATATATATATATATATTACAATAAAAAATATTAAAAATTGAAAGTTTCAGACACACTGAGTTGTAGATTAATATTCTTTCGTTTTTTTATTATTTCATTTAGATTCCTCGACTAGTTTCGGCCAAAATGGCCATCATCTGGAGAAGAAATATTTCTGCTTGCTGGTAGCAGTAAATTACAGAAATGAATGTCTTGATGGAGAAAATGAACTTTTGTCTGTAGTTTTCATTTGTTTTTTTATTTTTTATCTTTTTAACATGAATCTTTTAACATTCCTTGTGTTGGTCAAACAGTCTGTTTTAAGTTGTTATTTGAGATAAGAGCTGGATGGATCTATGCTTCTCTGAATTCCCGTGGTCAGTTTGACAGTTTTATTGGTCCTGGAGAGGGGGGGTGTCTCTGTTAAGTGTTTGTGTGTGTGTTATTTGGTTCTTAGGGAGTGAGTGAGTATGATATGTGTAAGTGTGTATATTGCTGTGGGTGTGTGTTATCATTTGGCTCATTAGGGAGTGAGTGAGTATGATGTGTGTAAGTGTGTATATTCGCGCGCGCGCGCGTGTGTGTGTGTGTGTATAAGTTTGAGGCCTCAACACCCCCGTAAGCATGTCTGTCTTGTGTGGGTGAGAAATGTGGGTAGGTTTTGATTTTTGAGTTATATATTAGTACTATCTATATTGTTAAATTTATGGTTTAGCCCGGCTGGATATTGTGTTTTTAGACGTTGTATCCACTTATTTTCATGGAACTCTAAAATCTTTCTAATGTTATCTGCTCTGAACTTTTCTATTCTCTCAATTGTAGTGAATTTGGCATAGGTTTTGAAATCGTGTTTTTCCAGGCGGAAATGTTCTACAGGTAATAATTTTTTATGGGGAGTCGACTTAATTGCGATAATTATTTATTCTGTAGTGAACGGGCCATTCAGATTTTCCTACATATTGTTTCTGGCATAGTGTGCATTCTAGGAGGTAAATTATGTTATGACTTCTACACTTAGAATCGTGGTAGATTTTGAAAGTAGATTTAGTGATTGAGCTAGTGAATGAATTCGTGTGTTTAATATGTTTGCAACATAAATTTCTTTTGTTGTTACATGGTTGGGAAAATCCTGTTGTTTTTGTTCTTAGTTCATTACGGATTAGCTTGTCCCCTGAAATGTGGTTACTACCTATGATTTCTTTTAGGTTCTTAGGTCTACGATATGCAAGAAGGCCAGGTTCCTTAAACATTTTTTTAAGTCTGGTTTGAGATGTAGTATTTCCCTGCGACGTTTGATTATTTAGGATAGTGGAGGCAGAGTGGGGTTGAAAGTGGTTACTAGAGGAATGCGGCTAGATTTATTTTTAATCTTGTACATTAGGGTGTCTTCTCTAGGTGTGGAAATTGCTTTATTTATTTGTTCCCTGATTAGGTGTTGTTTATAGCCACGTGTTGTGAATTGATGCTCCAGATTTTCAATGTGTTTATTTAATTCTTCATTGTTGGAACATATCCTTCTGAGTCTAAGTGCTTGTGAATAGGGAAGATTCTCTTTGAGGTGTTTAGGGTGGGAAGACTTAAAGTGTAGATAGTTGTGGGTGTCGGTTATTTTAGTGTGTAGTGTCGTTTGTAGTTTCCTGTTTTCATCTATGTAAATGCGGGTGTCTAAAAATGTTACTGATGTTGTGGATTTTTCATAGTCAAACTTAATTGAGTCGTGCACTGTGTTTAGGGTCATAAGGAATTGGGTAAGTTTGTCATCACCTCCGTGTATACAAAGAATCAATATATATATATATATATATATATATATATATATATATATATATATATATATATATATATGTGTGTGTCTCTGTGTGTGTGTGTGTGCGTGCGTGTGTGTGTGTGCAGATAAGATACACTCCGAAAGTAATACCTCCAATTTATTACCTCGGACTGTCCTGGGTATGACGATAAACTACATCCGCGTCTTGGGTAAGACGATAAACTACGTCCAACAGTAAAGCCTCTGATCGGAGGTTTTGAGGAACGTGGAACCACCTCTTAATTTCTGGTGTTCCCAGGTCTACCCTGGCCCGGAGTGCTAGCCCTTGTTAGAGTCCTAGCTATAGGTAAATAGTTAACCCCGAAACTGAGGTAAAAAGCATTATGAAAGTGTAAAAATAGGTTTTAATACCAGAAATATTTTGTAAAAAATTATTACCAGAAATAAATTTTTGAAGAAAGAAAACTATTACCAGCAATACATTTTTTTAAATAATATTACCAGCTATATATTTTTGAGGAAAAAATATTACCAGAAATAGAATTTTGAGAAAACAAAAATATTACCTGGAAAAAAAAAAGTTATCGGCATTGATGTTAACCCATTGATGTTGATATGTCGTAAAACAAACCAAACCAAACCAAACCAAACCAAACCAAACCAATTATTACCTCGGAAACTACAACAGATACAGGGAGGTACTGTGGTTAGAGAAACTTTTTTAGCTACAAAAACACACTTTTTCTATACAGTCACCGCCATTATTTAGTACAGTGTAACCCGGATATAAGAGAGTTGTCGGGACCGGAGAAGAAGTCTCTTATATCCGGGTTTCTCTTATATCCGGGTTTGATCTATTTTATATACATTAACACAGGCTCTGATTTGGGACCAGAGAAAATCTCTCTTATATCCGGGTTTCTCTTACATCCGGGTCTCTTATATCCGGGTTACCCTGTATTACATTTGGAGTTGTTCTCGTCTTGACCCAAAGAACCTCCTGATTACGGATGATCACATAGTAATGCGTTATTTCTCGATATGGCATTAGACAAGGAACATATCAAAACTAATGCTTTTGATTTATTTAAGGGTACAGATAGAGGGTGACACTATTGATAGAGAAACCATTTCAGCTACATTATTTATCCGTAAAGTTAATACGCTCGGTAAAGCTTTACTTTAGCAGCGATTTTTATCTAAGTCCAAAGAACTTCGTGGCTCCAGACGTCTACGTATAACAAATTAGTGATGCGATGTGTCTAGATGAGACATCATACGAAGGAGGCTCCAGAAGTAATTCCTGTTATTTATTCTCGCATAAACTGCAAAAGTTGGATAGGGATTGTTTTTAACGACAAAGTATTATTTACTCCAAATAGTCAGATAGGCATTTTCGCCAGCGACGAACAACGGCCTGCAGGCAGTGCTCGTAAACATTTGCATCAGCGGAGGCGACCCGCTTTTTAACGGCAACGAAAAGATTGTCAGGAAAAGATTGTCAGGAAAAGATTGTCAGGAAAAGATTGTTCGTATAGATTGTCAGGAAAAGATTGTTCGTATAGTCCATTTTACATCAATCAAAACATGAAAACGCTATTTATATCCGTAGTTCCGAACGTGGAG